ATAAATATCTTTCCCAATGCAAATCTAGTCAATAAGTACACTTCTGAAAAACAAAATGTCCAGCAATAGTCATCTATTTTGTTTAAATCTTATTTGACTATATTAACCTACTTATGCCTAGTGTTCCATTATTGGAATGCTAAGCGTGTGAGAGTTGTTTAGATCCTCCTGCTCAAAGTCATCACCAAGGTCTGATTTTTCACTCATGAAAAGACAAAAAAAATTGCAACCTCTGGCATAAATGGGTTAAGGGATTCAACATCTATTAGTTAAATGTCAAAATTAGAGTATAAGTTTCAGATGAGTTGGGATGAATACATTTAGGTTTATTGAAACTTCAGAAAGTTACAAAAGTACATGACAGAATTACCATACCAACAGTCAAAGTTAAGTTTACCAGCCCAATTGCCAGCATCGATAGTTGGCAAAGACTAATTGTTGATAGTTTTGCAAAGACTCATTCTTTCCTGAACATTTCTTATGTGTTCTGAACAGCTATAAATAATGCTGCTGTTGTTGGCCTCCAACTAAGGAGGAAGTATAAACTAGCCTAACGGAAACAGAAGACTAGGAAGAGGCTTAGTGTGTTCCTTGTATGGGAAGAGGGATGAGATCAGCAAAGTGAAAAATAAGGAGGAAATGTGATAAGGAGTAAAAGTAGAAGGACAGATGATACTGTTTGGAAGCACTAATGTATTTGGAAAGCAATGTCCTGAAACATAGAAGTGAATACTCTCATGTATGCAATATGTCATATACAGGTAATGGCAGTTGACCCGATAACTATTAACTAACATCTATAAGGACACGAAACAATAGTTTTCTGCCTTGAAAGAATTTGTGGTTTACTAGCATGAATTACATATATATTAAAACAATTCTAGTAAAATTAAAAAAAAAAACGGTAAGCCCTATGAGTCTGGTATAAGTATGTTGTATAATATTTCAGAAGAGGGAGAAATATATGGTAATGTCCTTTAAGAGGTAGCTATCTGACATGGGCAGTAATACAAGAAAAACACGCACAAGGACCCAAGGAATCAAATTAAATCCAGAGAAGAGTTTTTAAAAAGGATTATGTACACTACACACAAATATTTCCATTACAGTGACAGAGATAATCAAGTTGGAAGGATAATAATTCGTCATACTCTACTCTTGCAATGCGTTTAGGTAGGAGGGGAAGTAACATGTTTTTTAAGTAAGATATTGGTAACAATTTTACTTAAAAATGTGTTACAAACAAAACACATTGGTGTTTTCTCCATGTAAACATATGTCATCAGTTTCTGATGGTAAGCTAAAAAGTGGCCTAGATCAGGAGAGTCCCAAGAAAAATAAAGGCTGGCTAAATTTCAATGGAGAAGGAACTAGGGCTGTTAGTTATAACTAAAGAATCACAATAAAATTCCCCTGGTCTTCCAGACTTTCCTATTTGCACATATTCCCAGTCAGAATATTTCATTTCACTACATTTCTCCTAAAGTAGAAGAAGATCACAGAACTGTCTCAACTTAGGAAAATCAGCTGTCAGCTCTCTCCACACACATGTGTGTATGTTTGCAATTAGAATCGCAAAAAGATTTTGAGACAAATTTGACAGTTTCAAGTTGTTTTCAAATATAACGAACCAGGTACACTAGATAAAAAGTTTTAAAAGAACTGCAAGGAGGGTATTCATACTGTAAAATAGAATATTCTTTCTTGATGAAAAGATTTTAGGTAAAACTACATCCTTTCACATTAAAAAGTCCTGAATGATGTAACATTCAAACATGAAGTAACATAAAGCCAACATCACACTGAGTAGGAAGAAGCTGGAAGCATTCCCCTTGACAGCTGAAACAAGACAAGGGTGCCCACTCTCACTACTCCTATTCAACATAGTACTGGAACTCCAAGCCAGAGCAATCTGGCAAGAGAAAGAAATAAAGGGCATCTAAATAGGAAGAGAGGAAGTCAAACTCTTTTTTTGCAAACGATATGATTCTATATCTAGAAAACCCCATAGTCTGTGCCCCAAAAGCTCTTAGAACTGACAAACAATTTCAGTTAAATTTCAGGATATAAAACTAATGTACAAATATCAGCAATATTTCCAAACACCAATAATGTCCAAGCTGAGAGGCAAATCAAGAATGCCATTTACAATAGCCACAAAATAAAATAAAATAAAATAAAATACCTATGAATACAACTGACCAGTGAGGAAAGATCTCTACAATGAGAATTATAAAACACTGCTGAAAGGAATCAGAGATGACATTGTTAAATGAAGAAACATTCCATGTTCATGGATAGGAAGAATCAATATTGTTAAAATGGTCATACTGTCCAAAGCCATTTACAGATTCAGTGCTCTTCCTATCAAACTACCATCATCATTTCCACAGAATTAAAAAAAAAAACTATTCTAAAATTCATACGGAATCCAAAATTAGTCAGAATAGCCAAAGCAATCCTAAGTAAAATGAACAAAGCTGGAGGCATCACACTACTCGACTTCAAACTATACAAGGCTACAGTAACCAAAACAGCATGGTACTGGTTCATAAGCAGATACACAGACCAATGGAACAGAATGCGGAAGCCAGAAATAAAGCTGTATACCTACAATCATCTGATCTTTGACAAAATGGACAAAAACAAACATGGGGAAAGGATGCTTGTTTCAATAAATGGTGTTGAGATAAGCAGGTAGCCATATGCAGAAGATTGAAACTGGACCCCTACCTTACATCATTTAAAAAAATCAACTCAAGATGAATTAAAGACTTAAATGTAAAACCTAAAACTATAAAAATCCAAGAAGAAATCACACACACACACACAAAAACCTTTCTGAACACAGGCCATGGCAAAGATCTCATGACAAAGTCTCTAAAAGCAATTGTGACAAAACCAAAAATAGATGGGAGCGAATTGAACTTTATAAAGAGCTTCTGCACAGCAAAAAAAACCATTAAAGTGCTAAACAGATAACCTACAGAACTGGGGAAAATATTTGCAAACTATGAACCTGACAAAGGTCTAATACACAGAATATATAAGGAACTTTAAAAAAGAAAAACAGAACAACCCATTAAATGATGGGCAAAGGACATAAACACTTCTCAGAAGAAGACAGACACACACAGGGCCAACAACATAAAAAATGCTCAATATCACTAATCATCAGAGAAAGTCAAATCAGAACCAAACTCAAATACTATTTCACACCAGTCAGAAAGGCTATCATTAAAAAGTAAAAAATAAAAGTAACAGGTGTATATTTTGGAGCTTTCTTAAAGAACTTAAAACAGAGCTACCATTCAACCCAGCAACCCCATTACTGGGTATGTACTCAAAGGAACATAAATCATTCTACCAAAAAGGCACAGCACTCATATGTTATCACAACACTATTCACAATAGCAAAGACATAGAATCAATCTAGGTGCCCATCAGTGGTGGACTGGATAAAGAAAATGGGTACATATACAGCGTGGAACACTGTGCAGCCATGAAAAGGAAATCATGTTCGTTGCAGCAACATGGATGTAGCTGGAGGCCATTATCCGAAGCATATTACTGCAGGATCAGAAAACCAAATTACCACCTCATGTTCTCAGTCACACGTGGGAACTAAACATTGAGCACATATATTCATATTCACAAATCGGGGAGCAACCAGCACCAAGGTCTACTCGGGGATGGAGGGTGGAAGGAGAGTGATAGTGGAAAAACTATGGGGTGCTGTGACCACTATCTGGGTGATGAAGTCCTCTGTACACCAAACCTCAATGACACACAATTTACCAGTGTAACAAATCTGCACATGTACACCCTGAACCTAATAGTTGAAAAAGAAAAACCAATAAATATAATTTTAAAATGTAAAAAAAGATAAAAGAAAAATATCTGTCAAGTTTAGAGAGCAATTTTGTATTCTTCTCAAGGTAGGACTGACAGAATTAACTCTTTCATGAAGTAGTGTCATCCTCATTGCCTCTATCAAGTTATTATAGCAGTTAGGTAATTACTCATGAGCATTTCAATTTAAGCCAAAAATTTATTGACTAAACACTATCTTCAAGATACTGCATTGATTACTGGGAGGGAAACAAAAAAAAAAACATAACCCAGTTCTTGTTTTTATGGAGTTCATAATCTACTAGGAAGATATCATGAAGTAGGAGGCCACTCCCTGTACCTTTATACACACACAGTGGCCACATTGTACTTTACAGTTACCTGCTTTGCAAGTCATAAGGATGACCTTAGCAAGGGTAGGGTGACCCCAGGCACAGCCTATCTGACATTTTGTTTTAGTTAAAGTTTGATTTTTACACACACGAACCACAAACTTTCAGGATAAAAACTCCTACTAGTTACAAAGTGCAACTGTCACTTTAACATTCTTTTCTGTTACATTATTGGCATTTAATTAAGATTTATTTTTAAATAAATTAGTCAATGGTTGACAAGCTTTTTCTGTCAAGGGCCAGATTGTAAATATTTTACTCATTGCATGCCATAGGACCTTTGTTACAGCTATTCAACTTTTCCCCTGTAGCATGAAAATAGCCATTAACAGTACTTAAATGAGTGACTGCGTTCCAATAAAACTTTATAGACACTGAAATTTGAATTTCATGTATTCATGTTATTCTTCTTTTGAATGTCTCAACTATTTAAAAATATAAAAGGTATTTTTAGCCTGCAGGTCATACCAAAACAGTTGGCAGGCCACTTCATCCTGCAGGTCATAGTCTGCCAAGCCCTGAGTTAAGCAATCAATGAGATTTTATTCATGCCTCTTTCTAATATTTTAAGAAGAGTTACTCTCATAATTGAATTTCTTCCTTTTTATAAAAGGAAATGCTTTTCTCTAGCTTTCTGTAACTTCCTTTTTTTTCTACATTGTAGGCCATTTGGTTTCTGTGATACCAAGAACATTTTTTTCTTTATAAACATCATGTTATTAAATAATTGCAGGCAAAAAAACATAGTTAACTCACCAAATTTATTTGCAGAGTTTTTTCCCAGTTTTTCTCATTATTCACTCCAGCATTATTGACCAAAATGTCCAATCTTCCAAAGTGGTCTACAACTTTTCTAAAAGTGTCTGATTTAAAAAAATATATATTATTGATCATTCTTATTTTCCACGTATACATTGAAATCATGTCCTATGCTATGGGTGGAATTTTAGTTTATCCTCATAGTAAACATTATACTTATGAGCTGTGTCTTAATTCATTGCTTCTCAGTGTGTGGTTTGTGGACTAGCAGCATCAATCTGCTAAGAGTGGTTTGTGGACTAGCAGCATGGTAAGAGTGCAGAATTTTGCAGACACTACAGACGAACTGAATAATAATCTTAACTTTAACATATCCTTGAATGATCTGTATGCACATTGAAGTTCTATAATTGGTAACTTTTAGAGAACTGAGCATCCTAAGCTAAGAACTCCTTGAAGTCAGTTAGGGCAAGCAACATCTTTTAGTCCCTGTAGCTTAGACTATAGTAAATATCCTTTTCTATAAGCCACATTAAATTCATAAAGTATTATATAAACACAAGCATTCTTGTGTATTTAGATCTGTTATGCATATGTTGGGGGGTTTCTATACCTTAGTAAATGTCTACTTTTCATTCAGTTGATTTTATTTGATTACTGAAACTTCGATGTTTACTATTTTGTTCTTCTTTCTCACTATTATTACTACTTCAAATTACTGGTTTGTATAAAACTATGCTCAAACAGGATAAAGTTGGCATGAATTCTGAGGCATGAATGTCTTTCATTACACTGTCCAATTACATCTACTGTTTCTCAAAGTAGCCTTTGACATAGTTCTACTTGATTTAAACTCTTTCCCTGGGCCTTTGATCATTCATTCTATTTCTCTTACTTTACACTTCGGATAAAAATTGTGATTGTTTTTCTATATGACAGAAATGTACTCTCAAATCTCTAGGCCACCATATGTAGTCCTTTAAAAAAAGTAGATTGGCATAAACTTTATTTTGATTGAAATAAATTCATACAATCATTAACATCCACTAGACATATTGGGGAAGATGTGGATTAATCAGTTCCCATGTGGATAAATTACTATGCTAGTTAATTGCTAAAAACATTTTCAATTCTAATATGCACCTTTTACACTCACTGTACTGGAATGAAAGGTCAACAAAATACAAACTGTTTATTTTTTCATGGAATTTTAAAACTGTTTCTTAAGATCTCAAATTGGGTTCAGAAAAGGTCCCCCAGTATTTTTTTTTCTCCTTCCATTCTTAGTATGTTAAACAACCTCCACATTTTGGAAAATGAGGGTGTTAAATATGTATGTCTAATTTCCCCTTCAATTTTCTTTCCTCATGCTGTTTTCCACTATATTTCTTATACTCTGGCCTTACCAATGTATAGTATACCATCTTGTTTTCTGACACCCCATTGCATTCCAGCCTGAAGCAACTTATAGTCTAGCTCTTGCTGACATATTTATGCTGGGTACTCTTTATGATTTATCTAAACTCTCTTGGCTGCAATTTGTTCATTTGTAAAGTAAGTTATGTCTAGATCATCTCCAAGAACCTTTTCTCCTCATATTTTTATGGTTTCCAAATGTCCAAACAGTTGTAAAAGTTGTAGGCATCATTAAATCCTGAAATTGGAAGAATCAATGTCATGTTTTTCTGAGATGCAAACAAATGCTGACGTCCAGACATGTGGATTTCTCATGACCAACATGCCTTCCCTAGTCACTCATTATGTGTCTGAGTTTTTTTCCTCCTCCACAATCATTTATCCTTAAGGAATGTGTTTATAGTCAAGGTACTAATTTTAAATACTGGGAAAAACAATTGTGGATAAATGTCATTTGTGAAACCATATAAGTTGAGACAGAAATGGATTTCAGGTTATCTAAACTGTTCCTTATTCCAGTAGCATGAATGTTGGGATTTGACCTGGCTCTATCCTTGATCCAAAATATCACGTGCAATCAACATAATTACCCTCTGGCACAATATGTTCCTCTTACATTGTGTTTACAAATCTGTTCTGCTCATGCTTGTCATATGTGTGATAGGTCTTCATTAGCATTTTCAGATTTCAATGATGTAATTTCCTTTAAAACAATTTCTCTTAACTGTAGGTACACCACTCCCTTCTAACATATCAATTCATTTTCATTCTCTTGCAGAATATTTTAAAATTTAAAAATAAATTTACATTTGATGTCCCTTTAAGAACAGGGGGGAATAAGATTTACAACAGTTTTCGGTCCCCTTGATTTAAAAGTGCCTAATAATTTACTCAGTCTCTTTGAATAAAACTTGTGAAATACAAATATTTTACTTTTCTGGATTTTCTCCAGAATTTTTGTTTCCTGTAAGTTTATTGGGGTACTCTCAAATTCTCCAACAGGTTTACAAAAAAATAAACAGCTGTATAATCAAAGCTGTTTATTGTGTATGCCAATATTGTCCCTGATATTTCACAAGTAGATTGGTCTATTTTAAGTGAGTAGCCGGAAACAGGAAAGCATGAGGAAAGGCTGATAGAGATGTTTCCACTACATTCTAACACTGTACAGCTTATTATGATTACTATTATTATTTTAAAGTACCATCTCGTTGGGGGAAAAGCCAGATTAAACAACTGGTCAAAAGCATCTATCACTTCTGTGATGATGATCCTTGGACTTGTATTCTGATATGTTTAAAAGAAAAACACTGCCACATTGGATTGTCACTGGACTCCAGCTTTCTGGGAGAAGCTGTTTGTCACAGTCTCAGCCTACTCTAACTTTCCAAGTTTTGTCTGCAGTTTCCACCATTTAATAATTACTGCAGCAGCACTGTCTTGGAATACATAAAGGAATTTTGATTACATTAAGTGCTGCCAAATGACTACATTAAAAGGATTTCTCCAGCAGTCTTGCCTTTCTGTTACGTTTTACAGTTGTTGGGCTGTCAGAGGGAAACCTATCAGTTCAAACTGTCTTTTGGAGCTTCAAGGTAGCTGCTCTCGAGGAGGCAGCAGAGGCGGCACCCAGGAACCCCTGGCCCGGCGGCCTTCAGGTTGTCGCTTGCTCAGGGCGTGTTCCCAGTTGATAGGTTGATTCTCCTGTCTTACCTCTCAGCTGCTGCTGGTCAGCCACATCGCACTGGATGAACAGAGTCTTCTGAGGTTCAAACTGCTCATCCAGGGCAGCTTTACACTGTACACCTGCTTCGAGATTCCAATCCACCAGCGCTACCTATAGACGAGAGGAGAGGAATCGCGGGCCTGCGCAGCCCGTGAAAGAGACGGACAAACAAGAAACACACAAGAGGGTCCCCTCCTGGACCTGAACCGTGGCAATTAGGTTCGGGTTCCCGCCCAGCCACTTTTCGAGGTCTGCACACAGCCTCGGCTTCGGCAAATTTTGCAAGTGGCAGAGCGGGCACTCGGGTCGGCCTCCCAAATCTCCGCGGCGCACCCCCGGCGGTGCGGCGCGGCGGGGCGAGTCTCCCAGCGGGTGGGTGGGCAGGAGTTTCCGAGGCCGGGCGCCGGGCTTACCTTGGCGCCCTTGAGCAGCAGCGCCTCTGCAAAGGCTCTGCCTATGCCCTGCGCCGCGCCGGTCACCAGCGCCACTTTGCCGTTCACGTGCATGGTGCAGCCGCTGCTGGGGCGCGCGGTGGGCGAACTCCGCGTCTCCGCGCGGCCGCGGCTTTTATGTCACCCCCCTGCGCGCGCGCGCGTGCAGCCTGGCGGGGCGCTCCTGCCAGTGGGCGGGGAGGAAGCTGTCAGGCCGGCGCCCGCCGGGAATCCACGACTGTGTCACCTGGCCCCAGAGCGCTCTGAGCGCCAAGCTTCGCGATCTTTGCCTTCGCGACTCGCAGCCCGGCGCAGAGACTCCACTCAGCCTCTGGCTCCGTGATTGGCAGACCGCTGACACAAGAAAAGTTAAAAGGTTATTTCTGAAAAGGAGTTTCCTTCAGTGCCCTAAAGACCAACCCGATAGCAGGAGAGAGTAGCAGAGGCTTGGAAGCTTGGATTCCTGCACCCCACCCTGCCCCACCCCCGCCCCGCACCCGGAACCAGACAAGCAAACCATAAAGCAAGCTTGCTGCTCTTTTGTCTAAAGTTGTGTGTGAGTTCCCATCTCATAATCACTGGGGTTGAGGGTGATGGGGAGCAGAAGTAATAACACCATTGCTTTTTTTCTTAGTTGCAATTTGGACAGATTTTTACGGATACTGGAGATGAGAAGTGTGCTCTGCTCTGTCCTGAAAATCTGGAATCATAACATTTCAAGGTGAGGGCTGAAGAGTCTCCTTGGTGCTGTGTTTCTGATCAGTATCAATTGTGTGTCACCTTGAGATTCCCCCACAAGATCTGTCATCCTCTACTTGCAAATGCCCTCCAGCGTCGCTGGAAGCCTAGCAAATTGTTGGCTCAATGGAATGCAACCAACTTTGGAAGCTCTGAGTCAAGTTTGGTCGGGACAGAGGTTCCTTGCTCTCCAGGAACTCCAGTACTAGCTGTTTGCTGATTTGCATTCAGCAAAGCTATTCCACTGACTTTGTCTCTTTTTCTCATGTTGTCAGCGGCAGGCTGCAATTTGAATTTTGTAAACTTAGTTGGTTGACTTTTTTTTTTTTCTTTTTCTTCAGAAAAAGGTTCTTGCTCTGTCTCCCTGACTAGAACGTGGTGGCTCAATCCCAGCTCACTGCAATCTCAGTCTCCAGGGCTCAAGCGATCCTCCCGCCGTGGACTCCCAAAGTGCTGAGATGAAGGCATGAGCCACTGGGCCCAGCTGGCATCTATTTTCTTAAAGAAAAATAAAATCTAAATACTTGAGGGAAATGGGAGTTGATCAAAAGATTGAGACTAACAGTAGAATGAATCCTGTTTATACCTTCTTTGCCTGTTTCCAAGTGAGACACTGGGAAAGGTGGCTGGCTCAGCTGGGAAGGAGGATATGAGGAAGCTGTCTAAAATGTGTGTTGTTGTGTGGTCGGTAAGCTGCTAAGCAAATGTCTTTAGCATTGATTTTACATTAGTTCTTGACAAAATGTTGAGAAATTAAGACCGAAGATAGGTATATGTATTCTAGCATGATAATTAAAATTGTAATATGGGCCAAGTGTGGTGGCTCACACCTGTAGTCCCAGCACTTTGGGAGGCGGAGGTGGGAGGATCATGAGGTCAAGAGATCGAGACCATCCTGGCCAACACGATGAAACCCTGTCTCTATTAAAAATACAAAAAAATAGCTGGGTATGGTGGCATGTGCCTGTATACAGTCTCAGCTACTCGGGAAGTTGAGGCAGGAGAATCGCTTGAACTGGGTGGCGGAGGTTGCAGTGAGCTGGGATAGGGCCACTGCACTCCAGCCTGACGACAGAGTGAAACTCCATTTTAAGAAAAAAAAATGTAATATGAAGAGCAAATTGAGGGTTCATATTGAAAGAAAATAATAGTAGAAGACAAAAAGAAAAGGAACCAAACAAAACTTCAGCTCCTCTAATAGCTTGCAGAGAACATAGAAGTTTCTGATCAAGGAACTCTCCCGGTGGCTCAGGCCTGTAATCCCAACACTTTGGGAGGCGGATGCAGGCGGATCACCTGAGGTCAGGAGTACGAGACCAGCCTGGCCAACATGGTGAAACCCCATCTCTACTAAAAATACAAAAATGAGTTGGGCGTGGTGGCAGGTGCCTGTAATCAGAGCTACTCAGGAGGTTGAGGCAGAAGAAACTGTCAAAAAAAGACAGAAAGGGAGCTGCTGGGGTGACACAGGGACATGTTGGGAGAGCACAGGTTTGCAGCCCTTGTGGGGAGAAGCAGCTTCAAGGAGAAAGAAGTGGTTAATAATGAAAAGTACTCAGGTGAGCACCAGGGAATAAAAGATGGAGAAATATTTTGAATTTTTCAGAACAATATTTAGTGTGAGTAAATTTAGAAGGTGCAAAAACTGAACAGCTGAAATTAAAGGAGAAAATGGCCTGTGAGAAGATAAATATTGTCATGGACTGCGGACCAAGGTTACCTGGAAAGGGAAATGGACTGGGCAGTAGCTGAAAACATTACACAGCAAATAAGTTTTTCTTTTAAGAAAAGATGGATTGAGGTCCAAGTGCAAGAAGTCAAGGAAAGTGACAACTGGAAGAACAGGAGGCAGTGTAGGGCTGGGCGGGTGAGGCATGAGGGCACCAGCACTGGATTCAGACAAACCGGGTTTGGATCTTGTGTCTGCTACTGACCAGCTGTGTGATCTTGGGTCAGTTGCTTCAACTCTGTGTCTCAGATTCCTTATTATAAAGTAAGCATTCCTAAAAAAAAAAAAATGGTGAAAGTTAAATTAGGTATGAAAAAAGCATATGAAACACTATTACAGAGCCTGGCACAAAGTAGTAATACATTAATATTAGACCCAACATATTACTTCTGAAATATTTATGAATAATATATGTGAAATAGAGAAAAATGTAAGGAATAGGGTTTTTTTTTTTAGTAGATAGGAAGGACTGAGTCCTAGAGAAGAATTCGTGCCCCTTCATCCCTTTTCTGCCTCTCGATTTCCACTGCCATGACCAGATTCCTATTTTCTCCTGTGTCAGCAAAATCAGCTTCTCATTGCCTCCAAATTCCCTTTATTTCTACTTTTTGCATTGTGAGGCACTTTACTACAGTGAATTAAACTGTTTCAATAATCTTTGTAAGGAAGGATTTTTTTCCCTTTTTAGTTGATATGTAATAACTGTACATATTTATGTGATATATATGTACAGAGAGATAGATGTATATATGTACAGAGTGATATATCAATACATGTATAAGAAGTATACTAATAAAATCAGGATATTTGATCATTAGCATGTTTATAACCTCAAATTTACCATTGCTCTGTGTTGTATACATTCAGAATCCCCTCTTCTAGTTTTTAGAATATATACGCTAAATTGTTGTTAACTATATTCGCCCTACAGTGTTAGAAAACACTAGAACTTATCCTCTAATCTAACTTTTACTTTGTATCCATTAACCAATCTCTCCCCATGCACACATCCCGGTACCCTTCCCAGCCTCTAATAACCACAATTCTACTCTCTACTTCTGTAAGCTATTTTTTTAGCTTTCCCATATGATTGAGAACATGCAGTATTTATCTTTCTGTGCCTGACTCACTTCATTTATTGCTCCATGTTTTAAAACTCCAATTCAGCTTCTGCACTTCTCTTAGGAAAGGTTCTAAAACGGATCTGATTATGTTTAGATAGTTAAACCTTTTTTTTTTTTTGAGACGGAGTTTCACTCTTGTTACCCAGGCTGGAGTGCAATGGCGTGATCCCGACTTGGCTCACTGGAACCTCCGCCTCCTGGGTTCAAGCAATTCTCCTGCCTCAGCCACCAGAGTAGCTGGGCCTACAGGCACACGCCACCATGCCCAGCTAATTTTTGTATTTTTAGTAGAGACGGGGTTTCACCATGTTGACCAGGATGGTCTCGATCTCTTGACCTTGTGATCCACCCGCCTCGGCCTCCCAAAGTGCTGGGATTATAGGCGTGAGCCACCACGCCCGGCCTAGTCTCACCTTTAAAATGCTTAAAATATCTAAACTTCTGGGCATTGCATCTGAGATGTTCCATGCCCCATGTCTTACTTGTGGCTCTTTTTTACATGCCAAGAAACCTTGCATCAGTCACAGGTTTGGCATCCCTTATCTACAAATCTGAAATCCAAAATGCTCCAAAATCTGAGCCTTCCTGGACTGTGATGTAAGCAAGCTATGAACTTCTAACTTGTTGGACCTTTACATGTTTGCTTCTATTTGCTAACACAGCCTAACCTAATATATCTCCCAATAGAAAAATCTTCCCAAATGTCCCTGATGACCAAATCATATGAGACACTAAGCAAATTAAATCTTTTTTGGTAGACGGCAGTTAGGCCAACCAAATTGGCTAAGCTACTCGATTACTTATTGCCATAAAGTTTGCAAATAGACATAAATTACTTACTTATCTAGCAAAATAAAGAGAGTGTCATTATACTCTGCTTCCCTGGCTCCCACTTCTATGCAATAATCTTTTTTAAATGAAAGTTTTTGTTAGAAAGTGCTCCAAAAATCTGAAACACGACAGGAAGAAAATTCCACATGTAAGCACGTACATGAAACTTTGTTTCATGTACAAAATTATTAAAACCTCTAAGATGTTTCCAGGCTATACGTATAATATGTATATGAAACATAAATTTTGTGGTTAGACTTAGATCGTCCCATCACCAAGATATCTCATTATGTACATGTAAATATTGCGAAATCAAAAAAAATTGTGAAATGTGAAATACTTCTAGTCTTAAGCACTTTGATAAGGGACACTCAATCTGTATAGCCTATAGTAAGAATGTTTTCACTAAATTATATGAATGATGGTCTATCTCAAATTTAACTTTGTTTTGGCCAAGAATTAGTTTTTTAATAACACAGATCACTGGGATGATAGAAATATATAGCGAATGTAAGTGAGAGTAAACAATACCCTGAGCATAGAAGCTGAGAAATGCATATCAAAAATCAGAGGAGCAGGTATATGTGGACGGGGTAAGCAGTTCTTTTTTGGTTTTAGAATATACTACATATAATATTCCATAGATATTTTAAATTCAAAATGCACTTTTAGTATAACATATGAGAACACTCTTCTTCAAAAGCCCATTATATTTCTTACTGTTATATAAAAATATAATCACAACACATGTGAAATCTCAGCACCCTATTAAAATTTTCCATCTTCTCTCGAACACATAGCTCATATTTATCTATGCTTTTTGTTGGTCAGCATGTATTATGCATATACTTTGAGTGGCCCTGCACTGCCTCAGCTGGAAGGGATCCAGAGAAAAAGACACAGCCCTCTTTGAAGACACCCAGAGACAGTAAGCTCCTTATGATCCTGTGATTGGTGTTTCCATGGTAGATATTTGTTAGCTGCATAGGAAAACAGTTGAAGAAAGTGAGACGGCAAGGA